GGAAGATGAGAACTGGCGACTTTGTAGTACAACTTTAGTACGCGGAGTATCTGGGGAATTGGAAGATGAGAACTGGCGACTTTTGTAGTGCATTCTTAGTACTCGGAGCAATCTGTGGAGCTGGAAGCTGAGAACTGGCGACATTGTAGTACAACTTTAGTACGCGGATGAGTCATCTCTCGCGGCTGAGTCATCTCTTGCGGCTGCCCTGGCGCCCCTGCAGCTGAGTCATGTCTCCCGACCACCCGGCTCTCTTGAGAGGTTGACAAATTTTAGTCCGGAGCGCATGCGTCTGACTGAGAGACACGAGGGATACGCATGGTGGAAAGAACCGGGACACTCCTATAGGTCAACTTGTTCTTATAGGAAACTTCCGCCGCCGGCTTGCCCGGGAACTGCTTGTACAATGAGAGAATGAGCAGTCCATGTCCAGATTCTTCCTTCCGACCAGACAATCTACCTGGAAGCGTGATAGTTCTACTTTTCCGTTGGGTTGGAGGCCATCGCTACTAGGTTGGATGGCATTGCTACTATAGGTTGGGCCATTGCTTAGAGGGCATCGCTACTATAGGTTGGAGGGCGTCGGTACTATAGGTTGGAGGCGATCGCGATTGGATTTTCGAATTCGCTAGGCACACCTCTCCACTGGGCGTCGCGCAATGGCCACATCAAGGTGCGCACCTCGCTCGGTGAAGGACCATCCTCCTAGGCGAGCGCACGAAATCCATGAATGCAGCCATGGAACTGTACATTTTGACCTCACGCACACACACCAGTTCCAGAAGATATCAGCCTGAGCAAGAATTCTCCCAAGGAGGAGGTTTGCAGAACACGCAGCAACCGTGTGCAAGTGCAGCAAACGCAGAATGCGCAGACGCAGGTGGTGGAACTGCTCTTGGGAGCCCGGGCAGCGATGAACGGCGGGGGAGCCCTTGGCGCTACAGACTGAGCCTTAAGACCTGACGTGACAGGACGTGTCCGACTAAAGACCGGTGGCGCAACAAGAATTACAATAAATAAGAACTAAAACGAGGTGTAACTAGACACTTCCGAACAATTTCTCTCATAAGGCGTTCATGGTCGTTACATTTCTAGTGAGTTAGGGATATGTTGGCGGACAAATGCATTCAAGTTGGAAATAGAACTGTCGGCCCAGTGCCATGGGTTAAAGTCTTCGTCTTGAGGATTGCAACAACGCTGCTCATGGCGAGTTCACCTTGGGAAATTATCAGAATCCTTGACACATCACCAGCTTGTTGAAGACCTCACAACGATGATTTGTCCGTTTGGAGCAGTTGTGGTTGTCAGACTTGGGGCCATCAGCCATTCGCTGTAATCCTTGGACATGACCCTATCAGCAGCAAACCCAGGTCCAGATGGCACTGGCAGAAATCCTTTGGCCTTGGCAATCGGCTACAAACAGACGGAGGCGCCATCGTCAAGTTGTTCAGCTTTCAAAGACTTAGACATGACGAAGACATGGACATGTTGGAAAGATCAAGATCAATCGACGATCTAAATAATTGATCTCTGGATAGAACATGATAGAACCAATTGGTTGACCGTCTCGGACCTGCGAAAAGGAGAACACCAAGTTGATCCTACTGGTTTCTTTCGCGGCTGGAAGGAAAGGTCAGGTTGGAGGCCATCGCTAGCAGGCTGGAAGCCATCGCTAGTAGTAGGTTGGAAGCCATCGCTAGTAGGCTGGAGACCATCACTCGTAGTAGGCTGGAAGCCATCGCTAGTAGGTTGGAGGCCATCGCTAGTAGGTTGGAAGCTACCGCTAGTAGGTTGGAGGCCATCGCTAGTAGGTTGGAGGCAATTGCTAG